ATCATATATAACAATAGTTCTAAAGAAATAGTTGATTTTACTGATTAATATTAAACTCCAAACAAACTAAAACGACCCTGATAGAAATATTTTATTGAAAATTTCTTTGAATTGACCCTTTTTCATTAAAATTTATTAAGATTTTTCAAGATTAATGAAAGTTCATTTAAATTCGTAAAATTTATTTTATTGTTATATGATAAAATTAATTTTATAAATTTTAATAAATCTTAATGAATTTTAGAAATTTTAATCATCTTAATGAATATTTCTGAATTTTAATTAATTTTAATAAATTTTAATAATCTTAAAAAATCTTAAAAAATTTTAATGAAAAGGGGTCAATTGAGAGAGATTTTCAGTAAATATTTCAATAAAATATTTCTTTATAAGTGCCATTACATGCAAGCGTCGAGCGTTAAACCCGTGCGTAGCACTTTTGCGCATAAATCTAAACCGTTCAGATTTCAACGTCTTGAGACAATGTTGCATTATAGCAATTAGGGCAATATTGCATAATAGAATCCGTGTCTCTTTCTTTCTGCGAATATTTGTAATACCTAAAACCTTTTCTTTTTTTATTTTACTCATATTGCATTTGTAATTGGTGATATTAATGCAATTAACTCCATATTTTGCTTGTAATATCCCACAGAAGTTTCAAAAAGCTTTCAGAAAAGTTTCAGAAACATTGAACCTTTCTGAAATCTTCTTGAAATCTTTCTGAAAGCTTTTTGAAATAAATGTGCTGTGTGGGATTCGTTACTGATAATGCTATCGCATTTTAATAACCACAAATGATGCCGATAATTAATAGACATTTTGTAATATCTTGCAGTTTTTTCTGAATTGCTAATAAAAATATCTCGAAATTCAACAGTTCAGTATGTAATCAAATTAATCTTGCGTTTCAGCAACAACTCACTATATATTACTATACATGTGCTCAACACTTGACGCTCGATGCTCCTATGGGTGCATTCAGATTCCCTACCCGGGTGCATTCTATTACTAGAAACACTATAGTGTATGTTACATATACTATAGCACTTTTAGTATTAGAATGCACCCGGGTAGGGAATCTGAACGCAGCCTATGTAAAAGCACTTTATCAGGAGATTTTTGGGAAAATTTTAACTAAAATCGCTGACCCTAGATTGGCTAGTTATATCAGCAAGATACCAACCTCAAGCAAAAGTCACAAAAGAGAAGTAATTTTCTAAAATGAGTTTTTTTAAAGATCTGTTCTTTTTATTGCTATACTACAGTTGCTATGCGTTGTAATTTTTGTGTTTCAAAACACGCAGAAAGGAAATTCTGCTCGCAATTATACATAAAATAAGTAAAATCAGCGTTCTGTTAGCGACTCTGATTCGCGCATTTCGTAGAGTAGCAGAGATTCGAAAATATGCACCTATCCGATGAATGAGCCACTCAACGAGCGCTTTGGTCGTTGGATGTGAACGCGCCTTGTGCTACGCGGCGGCTGAGTAGCGTCTCGTCGAAGTCGACATTCTGCTGTGCTTCGTAGATTTTTGGCGGGCCGGATTTTCGGCGGCGGTATCGTTACGTGCTGTATCTATTAACGACTTAACGAATTGTGGCAGGATAAATGATGACAGACAAGGACGGCGGTAAGTGATCGCGCATTCTCGTTGACACGTCGAACTCTCCCGCTCGAATTGCCTTCCGGTGAATAAACATAAATAGTCGTTGGACGAGTGTGTCTCGAAAGGACGCCCTTCGTCTCGCCAATAAACAACCGCGTCTTTTCCCCGCGTATAATCTTCTCCGCGATCGCCTTCCAGTAGAGTTCGCCAGAAAAAATTCGAAAGGCAGTCGATTTCGCGGCGATGCCGAGGCTTTCGCGAGCCGGCTTCCGAGCACGTTGCGTAGAGTACGGTTAACGTTCGCAAGCGCGGTATCGTGCTGGGTCAATAGGACTGTGAAGTTCGTTCCGACTACGTTTTAACAAATAACAGATGGATTCGTTTCACGGTAATCCCTACTCGAATCCGGAGTGCAGCAGTAAGTGTTCAATTTGTCGCGCAATGCGCCGAACGAATGTGGATTTTTTAACGGTGATGACGATGATTTCTCGTTCGATTTCGCGTGCGATTTCTGTAATAACGTCGGAACGTTGACTCGAAGACCATATAAATACATATTATTATTAATTTCAAAGTTCTCAATTTTACTCTAATAGCACAGATATTCAGAGGATATCCAAAAGATGTTTTAAGGATGTCTGCATCCTAGAAGAATGTTCTCAGGTGGTCCCTAGAAGATTTTGTGCTGTTACTATAGCACACACAATTGCCATAAATTAATATAAATGTGTGCATGCAAAAGAAATTATGAAATTACAAAGGAAAGATTATACATAAATATATGTAATTAAAATTACATACTATTATAGTGCACAATTAGGATTGTATATGATATAGTCATAAGATTATATACTATTCGAGACAATTTAGGGGTGCTTTCTTCATATATTGGTTCTAGCAGATATTTATATAGCACATTCCTTGAGAAATGTTTAAGCATGTTTCTTGGGATGTTAAGTAATACATCTCATTAAACTTTCTTTGTTATCTAATCTTGATTTCACCTTTTAGTAAACATCTACATGTTCGTACAATATTGCAACTACCTGCTGATATATTTGGCTTGGTGTACAGAACCATTCAACAAAATTATTTAGCTTCATCTTATCACATATGTTTAATAAAGGCTATATTCCAAAATATTTACTGTCAGCACTGAAGATTTATAGTTCATGTTGCATAAGTTCTTCATTGAAATGCTCCATTAAATAATTATCATAACTGCTTCATACTGATATATCCTCTCTACAGTGTAGAACTTGTGAGTGGCACTTTAGCATGAGTGCTTCTTTGCAGAAACTTTTGACGACGCGGTGGAGGAACGTGTTATTAATGAAGAATACAAAATATGGAAGAAGAACACACCGTTCTTGTATGATCTGGTCATGACACATGCATTGGAATGGCCCTCTCTGACTGCCCAATGGCTACCTGATGTTACGAGACCTGAGGGAAAGGATTACTCTGTTCATCGACTAATCCTAGGAACTCATACCTCGGACGAACAGAATCATCTGCTCATCGCCAGCGTTCAATTACCTAACGAAGACGCTCAGTTCGACGCGTCCCATTACGATAATGAGAAGGGCGAGTTCGGTGGATTCGGCTCCGTCAGCGGGAAGATAGAGATAGAAATAAAGATAAATCACGAAGGCGAGGTCAATAGAGCGCGTTACATGCCACAGAATCCGTGTGTCATCGCCACCAAGACACCCTCTAGTGATGTCCTTGTGTTCGATTATACTAAACATCCCAGCAAACCAGATCCAAACGGAGAATGTCATCCAGACTTGAGGTACTCGCGTAATTCGTCAAATAGATGTATTTGAGCGCGAACGTGGCTCGATCATACCGTCGGCCCAAATCAAGAAACTTCCTAACTCTATCGCAAAATTCCCATTTTAGCAGATTTTCTAAATAATGCAGAGTTTCTAGACAACTCGATGATAAAATGAGTATTTCCATTTTGTAAGAAATTGAAGTTAGGTTCTGATGGATCTGATTGGAGTTTTTTCTGATTTGGCCGACTGACGTCGCCTACCGCACGTCTGTACTAACTTATGCCTTCAACCAGGTTGCGAGGTCATCAAAAGGAAGGCTACGGTCTCTCGTGGAACCCCAATTTAAATGGCTACTTACTGAGTGCATCCGACGACCACACTATCTGTTTATGGGATATTAATGCGACTCCAAAGGAAAATCGAGTAATAGATGCTAAAACTATATTTACTGGACATACAGCTGTGGTAGAGGATGTTGCTTGGCATTTATTACATGAATCATTATTTGGATCAGTTGCTGATGATCAGAAGCTTATGATTTGGGATACTAGGTAAGACTAGTTCGCTATCCTTGTACATTATTAGACATGAGTATATATCCATTCCATGTCGTTTCATTCACTGTTTTTAACTCAGCTAGATTGCACTTTAATGAAAATAAGTCTGTATTAATATAAATATATAAGTATATAAGCAAATATATATATTAATTATGTATATGTATATATATATATATATATATATATATATATATATATATATATATAT